TATTTTCATTACTACTGTCACCCGACTCTATTACATCTTCCTCTTGAACCAGCAGAACATTCAATTCTTTCTTCTTACACTTATGGCCCGGTGAATATTTCTCATCGCAACGATAACAGAGACCCAAGGCTCGCCTCTGTTGTACCTCCTGATCGGACAATCTTCTGTATTCAGATCCCGTTCTATTCATYGAATTACCCACCGTATTTGAATTATTCYCTAAATTAGTACTACCGGGGATACTCCTATTAACGGCAAACATAGCTAACGATTTGTTCGATCCAGATATCGACCTTTCTTTTGCAATCACAACATTCTTCACTTCGATTTTTATTGCTAACTCCATCGCTTCGTCTAACGTTACAGGATTTAAGAGACGTACCTAGGCCTTAATTGAATTTTCCGAACCGTTTATGAATTGACTCATAAACACTTCTTCCTTCTAATGGTGCAGCCAACTCCACGAATTTCATCTTAAATTCCTCCACCGTACCTTCTTGTTTAACAGCCAGAAACTGTTCGCATAAAGTTCCTGCCGCCATTGATCGGAATTGACGCAAAATCAATCTACGCAGATCCTCCCAACGTAAAATTGGATGACGTCTATTCTCCCATTGAAACCATTTCAAAGCTGCCCCTTCAAATGCTATGAAAGCAACATCAATTTTTTCTTCCTGTGATAATCGATTCAATGAAAAATAGCGTTCTGCTCTGAGAACCCAAGCATCTGGATCGCTTCCGTCAAACGCTGGAATTTCAAGCTTCCGGCCTTTCACAGCTAGGAATCGACTCGATTCCTGTTTTTCATCATTCCTCCTCTTCGATCTTCCTGAATCGTCCACGTCTTCTCCATCCGACGAACCTGTTGAATTCAATTTACTAGCCACATCGCTGCTTAACTTCTCAATCTGTTGTACAATCCTTTCCAAACTTTTCTCGATCGAACCGACGCTACTTTCTAAATCTTCAATTCTTGTTGCCGCACTCCTTGTCGCCATGGCTGGATCTTACCGCTCTGA